AGATTCTGACAAGGACAAGATAAAAAGGTGAAGACGAAATGCTTACAGGTCAACTTAATTTATTGAAAATCGAATCATCTATCATATCTGTTTAGTTCCCCATTCTTTTTCAAGTTGTCGCATTGTCAAATGGTAGTTCACGTTTTCATAAACTATATAGCATAATGGATAACTTTCAATTCGTAAAAAATGTTTTAAAGTGTTTAGATGAATATTTGTAGTTTAAATTGTCTAAGAAAATTAATTTTACCGATTGAAAAGATACGCTTTAAACTGGTCGCTGAAAATTTAATGGTAGGATAGAAGCAGTTTATTGTTAGTGCAGGACCTAGCCTTTAGTGCATAAGCCCTATTTGCTACATTTGAAGACAATAAACTAATATAAAATGACCATAATTATCAAAATGCTTGAGTAAACTGTAGCAGAACCGAAATCAGATGAACGATGAAGACATAGTGATTCAGGCAAACTGATTCAGGTAAACTTCAGTTACAATAAAAAAGAGGCTGGGATTTAAAACGGTTCCACTTATCAGAACTTACAATAACTCATATTATCGTGTTTCAGTAAGTAAGTAATGAAGAATTACTGGTAAAATACTTCAGAGAGTGTGGGTGAGTTTTGCCTGAGATTGCAGTGTTTGAAAGAACAAGTATTTTAACGAAGAGTCTTTTTTCGTCAATTTCATTTCCAGAGCTCTAAAAAGAGATTATCAAACCCTCTAAGACGGACTTTCTTTGCATCAATGCCGAGAACAGTATTCTCTTGTCGCCCAACGATTTCTAACAACTCAAAGGAGAAACTTTCACATCTGACCACTTCTATGTGCATATGTCAATTCACCTGCTCTCGTGGAGCCACGTATATAGGTCGTTGATGCGACTGTTATCCAAAAACGTTTAAGAGTACTGCGTGATTTCAAAGAGGTAACACTGGAGCGATAAGAAGCGCTACAATCGAACAGATTGTGAACACAAATCACACTATCTCAGGAACCTCCTCGTTCAACGTCATTTATAAAGTGAAAACAAACCCTCCAAAGACCGTCTATCTTCGTATTCTCTGCATCGCCGAAGCTCTTGTCATCCATCTGGAGAAACGTGAACTGTGTTCGCAAAAGAAGATTAATCTCTTCTCCCTTCATTGTCTTAGTTTTCGGTCTTTGTAATCTCGTTTAACCCCCTTTTTTCATTTTTTTGTTTTGACACCATTCACTTGATAAGTAACTTGCTACTCATTCCTGTTGATATGCGCTGCATGATCACAATTCAAGATCCAACTATGTCGTCATGTTACGAAACTTCTTGTTCAAACTTATTTCAATTGATATTCACTACTCATCATGATTTTTGACTTTAATGACAGCTCATTTATTACCACTATTTGTCTTGCCGTGACTGACATACCGTTTTAAACTATCAAATCCTAGAAAAACGTATAAATTTACGATTGTGCAGATTTGAAGATGAAATCACCGGAAAGATACTGTTTGCTGAAATACTTGTTATTCTTTTGTATTCTAATGGGTATATTTCACTCATTACAATACCTGTCGACAAAACCTTCACATGAGCCACAAGGAAGTATTTATGAAATTATTATAGAATCGTCTATATAAGTATATTGAAGATCTTTTCCAACATTTAATTTTAGAAACATTTTCAAATGTATTTATATAGTTTGTATGTTTGGAAGGAGGCACCTGAAGGTCAAAATTATTTGCTACACAGTTACAGTGATTCTGTTATAGTACAAATATTTGTAATTACTGCAGATTATTCTATTGATTTTGTTGAGTGCAGATAAACCGATATATACTTGACCTCAAATTATGCACTGATTCCATATGATTTTAAAATAAATCCATATGAATTGTTTATGTACTCACATAACTTGATTTTTGACCCAATAATAACATGTAACCAACGAGTGCACTACAGCCGATAACTAGTGGTTACATTTGGTGCTCCCCTAATTTGTATTTATTCTTTTGTTAGGAGATTGACTAACTGATTTTGTTAAAATAAATCATTCAGATGATTCAGATTCTATCAAACGACTTTCATCAGCTATGCTTGAAGTTGGATAATGTGAAGAGATTATTTGATAAACTGAATAATTTTTTTTCATCTCTTAGCAAATCAACATGTAGCAAAATATTTGATGTGTATGAGTAAATAAGAAATCTACTTTTGATAGGTAAAGATGCCAACACTGAGAAAAATGTTATGTAAGGCCTGTCTCACTTTGCTAGCATAATCATGAGAGAATCTTAATCTTATGGTCTTATGATGAGAGCAGCACAGCCAAAATAGGCAGAAAATATGGTCATGAAATTTTTCTTGTAATGAGTCTGTAAGGTGGATAAACAAAACTATGTATTGCATATGAATTACTATCAGTATTTGATTCATCAGAATGGCAAATATTTGGCGCTGAGTTAAAGGTTGACATTAGTTACAGTTTGCATTTGTGTAAGTCACAAAATTTCGTACAGAAGTTTGGTCCGAGCTTCTTCAGGAAACAAAAACAAATCATAAACATCGGAACATATTAATGAACAACTTATATGACTGAAAGCCACTCAGGCTTATCTGTGAGTTTCACTAGCCAGAGCAGAGTGATTTAAACACCGAACTGCCATTTCGCTTGTTTTAGGCCCTGCTGATCAGTAAAGAATATTTTGTTAGTTCATGATACTTTTGACTAATGTTGACACTGCACCTAAACAAATGGAAAGCTACTCAGATGTAAGAGATGTTTACAACTAACGTGCAGTTTGTAAATCATTTGCTAGTTGATCGCCCCATAAACATTGGGTTGTGAGAAGCTAAATTTAGTGGGCTACTGCAGTTGCAATAGATGCAAAGTCTTCATTTATTTTGTTCATATTTCTTGCACTTTTTACCTGAAGTTATCTTCAGTTAGATTTTCACTTTCAATAAGGACATGATTAAACAAACTCAGGTTAATGGAAATGTAAGAGATAGTGGAAGAAAAAAGTGCTATTGACGGTTTTTCTATAAACCGTTAGCAATTAGTATATCTGTAATTTGAATTTAGAAAATGCAGTCGACTGGTAGTGAAAGTAATCATTAAAAAGGTCTTTTTTCACTATATATTAACTAGGTTAATCTAAAGAAGTTTTTGAATACAAATGATGCAGAGAAATTGTATGAAGACTGGTTGTTGATGTTAAATATGTAATGAAACTTTTGATATAAACTCATATACAAGACTTTACAAGCGTTCACAGTCGTGATATCACAGCACGACCTTCGATGAAAGTATTATCTGAAGCCAAAAGCCTAAAATAATTGATTTTGAAAACAGCTTTCCAACGGCTATCACCCGATTTATGATACACTATAAACAAATAAGGATATATATATATATATATCAGAAAAACTAAACGTCAATTAAAAACATTGAGATTGAAGTAATATCCTTCAGATGTAATTTTTGATAAATGTTCTCTGGTTTTCACTTGCGTGTTTCGCATTTTGAGGTGATGAAATGTCGTAAAAAGTCGTAATCAAAACTGTCATGTATCAGCAATAAATGGAGATCAAAAGAAGTGAAGTAACAAGTAACTGGTAATAGAAAAGTAATTCAGAGAAGCATAAAACGAGTCAAAAAGAATATCTACAAGCTTTTGTTATTCCACGTAAACAGCGTGTTTTTTCTAGGGGGATGATATATAGTTATTTATCTAAATGAATCCATCAGTTAGGGATTTAGAGACTGGAAAACCATATACAGTTACTTAGTACTTTATACATTAAGCCTGGTACTTCCATATGAGATTATTTGTTATTCACATGGTCTGACGATTTTGCATAAATTTCACAATATATACATATAAAAAGGTTATGAATAAACAGAAAATTGTGTTTACTTTAAATAGGTTTGCAGAAGTTTGCTAGACTGATTTAATGTAAAACAAATTCTAAGATTATTTTAAATACTCAGTTTATTTAACATTTTTGTTTTTCAAAATTATTAGTCAATAGTTGAGAGTTTGATAAGAAAATATTTTTCAACGTTATAGCCAGTGCATATGTTAAGTACAGTCTAACGCTGCGTTCATTTGTAAAAGTACAAACTATATATTTCGAGGTAACTAATCCTTTCTCTTATTGCTGTATGCAATATCCACTCGAACATGTAGAAAGACAGGAGTTTTGTTCCAAAGAAAAATTACTGCTTATTGTATCAGAAATTTTGAAATATTTAACAAGCATTTTCATTAGGAAAATACTGCTCATAACTATTAAAAGCACTTTTCAAACTGTGAACAATAAAAGTATATGTCTTGAATAGGTAAGGGAAGATAAAGTCATAGCATATAAGATCTACTGAACTGGTTACCTGATAATATTTCCACTTCTCTATATAAATGACAAAAATTACTTAATAGCAAAGCATTCAGGCGTAAATGTTCGAAAATTTATAAACGAGGGTGAAATCCACTCTTTAGAAGAGTTTAAAATGGTCTATAGTAATGTTTTAGAAACCGCTGCCATTATCCGGCATGCTTCCATGTTGGCCTAATGTGGCACTTTAGCTTAAAAATTGCCGTCAAAATTACTCATTTCAAGACAACTGTTTGTCTGAAATGATGATCACTAACGTCTGCCACGTTATGTATAGCTTACATGGCAACGAAGATGATATCGACAGTGCTCAAAACATGAACTGCGTTCAAATTACTTGAGATAAACTTAGTATGCAATAAAATTCAAGTATCCCTCTACTTCCGCCTTTGCATGCCTACGTTTTAAAACGGTAACTAGTTACTTCATGAAATCATTTATAACTTGTGTTTATTTTCTATACACTAATCTTTTAAGTCTATATATTGCAAGTGAGAACCAATGAAAAATAAACAGAATTTATCTTACGTTCATAATATTGCTCTGATTGCGTTATTTTTCATATTGATTAAGAAATCAAAATGTATAAAATGCTGCATACTGATTTTTTTCACTCTGTTCAGAATTCCATTTACACAAAATGAATTTATGTGATCTAGAAAACATGCATACGCAGATGGATTGTTACAAAATTAACCAACTGGCAACAACGCAACATACTAGTTCTTTCCCTGATCAGCTGAAAATTGAGGAATTGAATGATCATCCAGGAACTGACTATTATAATTCACATCATAACTCTTTATTTACGGATAATATTCGTACTACATTCATTCCAGTTAATACTTCTACGACTACTATCCCCAATTCTTATAGTCATGAAGTAAATAGCAGTAATAATATCAATCATAACATCCTGTATAATATGAAACAGTGCGAAAAACATGGTAATAACTACCAGGAAGTTACGTCTAACTATAGCTACGTAGATAATGAGGTAGTATGGACAAAAAATGTATTCAATTCAAAGTCCTGTCTTAAAAATTCTGTTAGTTTGATCAACAGTTATAATCATAGTGTGAAACTGAATAGAAACTCTATAAATCGTGAATCAAATTCAAATGAAGACTATTCGCATCCCAACTACCATTATGATGTAGATCTTGTTTCTACACCAGGACACATGTATTCACTTACCGATTATTCAGAAGTGAATAGTGGAGATTATCCGTACTTTGTAAATGATGAACAGCAAGTCTGTTTGAATGAGCCTTTGCTGTCTAATGGCCTGGAGTATTCGGACTTCTGTAAAGAGTTTTATACCGATAGAGAATCAAATATGACTAATTGCAGTCATAATTCCGCCTGTGAACAAGATGGTAGCTGTCCAAGTGAATTGAAGATAAATCCACCAGCAAATCATTACAGTGATCAGGATTGTACTCCTCAGAGAGTGGTTAAAAGAGATTTGAAGCCATGTGACTTTATCAGCCAGACTGATTCAATGACTAGTGAACGGCTTGAAGGCCAAGGTGGCGTGCACAGTAGTACAAATTGGTCATTTGGTTGGTCTAACGATAGAGAGTTAGATAGCCAAACAAGTAATCATCTGTGTAGCCCAAAAAACATTACAGTAGATTCTGGAAATTATCAAATTCCAAGTAAGTTTCACTGTTTGGTGTTTTAAAATTCTAGTTTTATAATCCTTACTATCTAGGTGTTAAAAGAGTTATATTTTTCGTGATGTGACTTAACAGTATTAGCAAGATATAGTCTTACTAAACCCATAGCTTTCTATTTCAGTACAATAAATTTGTTCCTAATTATCTTGCATTTGTTTTCACTGACGGTAACAAGATGTGAAATGAAGCGGGTATGAATCCATAGATTAAATCTCAATAGCTATCAGTAATTAGGTTTTTCTTGAACAAATCAACTTTTGGGAGTTCAGGAAAATAATTTGCATTTTTAAAAATTCATCAACCTTTCGGAGGATGTCAGCAATGACATACCTAAGAGATCAAATAGAAGTAAAGTTGTAAATTGTACATTTCAAATACTCTCTCTCACTAGTTCCTGGAAAATATTAGATCGTGCGAAAACCAGTTAGACTTCTGTTTTCCCATTGTACAAAACTGAATACCGTTATTTAGCCACCTTTCACAATTAAATGCATATTTACACAGGCTGTTTCGTCGTCAGGTCCTTTTTAATATTATTTACTCAAGCACATTTACTAGGAAGTAATTTCATCAAGACTTGGGTGTTTATTTGATTGTGTTTTCCTCTTGAAATGGAGTAGTTTTTCAGAGTCGTACAAAAGCCTAAGCATATGAAAACCCAAGGGTATTTTGTTAGGAGAAGTAATAACATATAAAGCCAGTAAAAAATCTAAAATTAGGTTGAACTATGTTTGTTTTACGAAAAACGAGTTTGCCTTCCTAAATAAGAAGGATACAAAAACGGATTTAACGTAGAGTTTCACTTCCCATTCAGAAAAATCAGTAACAAGCTGCATTCCAAGAAGGACTGGACACTGATATTACTTCTTCAAAAGAATGGAACACGAGTATTATTTGAAATATTGTCAGTATGAGCTAACCAGACATTTTTGGTGGTCCAACTTTACTTTATTTTTAGCTGGTTGTGAAGTGTGAGATGAGACAGATCAGTCTACTTACCTTGAGATATTTAGGAATTAGCACTTTTAGGTATCATCACTTATTTTCTGAACTGTTGAAAAGTCAGGATGTCATTTTGCATAAACATAGACAAAACATTAATGGACAACGGTCTGTGTCGACGTATCTTACTTCAGTTGAACAAGATGCAAGTGAACAAGATTGACAACGCAAAAATAGGAATGAAATGCAGTCGAAAGTTGTGGAAAGTTATAAGGAGCGAAGAACAGGAGGGAATTTGAGCTGTCGACGCATTTGCATAACCATTGTCAATGTTGAGCCACATTATCTCCAGTCTGCTGCTACGTATTCTGGTTGCCACATAGATCTAAGTTGATGGTCTTCATCTGTCTACACCACATAAACTTCATAGACTAATACTTCTGATTCTGACGGTCTGATATCTGTTTTCTAGCCTAATCCTGCCTTACAGGGCCATAAGCACATAAATTATTCTCTTTCATTCACCTTAGCATGATAAGAGTTTCAGAACTACCTAAACCGTCTTGGCATTTTATCTAACTGAAGGTAATAAACGACAACCTAATGTAAGAAACTGAGTATGTTGAAGAGAAAATGCATCTTTAGTGAAGAAAATAACCTAAAAAATTCACTTTTGTAAATGTTCAAATTTATCAGTGATACATTTCATTTAGCCATGACCTTAGAATTTTATAATGCATTCAGAATTGTGTTTACTGCCAAAATAATTCTAAAAGACTGTGAATATATTTTAACTTTTATACAAGCATCTCGATGGGATAATACTAATAAAGTCTTAATTTTATAACAAATCACTTTGACTAATTATCGTCGGATACTATGACGTGTTACTTAGGTACGATTTCACCTTCTTTTAAGATTGCATTACACATACCAAGGCAAAAGATCTCATTTATGAGAAAGAATACGTGACAAATGAAAATGATCAGTCGATAAACCAGTCGTACAAGCAATCGACGAGTCTATCTAACGGTCAGAAAGCATGTATGATATCCGGGCTATGTACTGAAGTAGATCATTCATACTCACCACAGCCTGAATCAAAGCAGTCGTGCAGCCTTTCTTCAAGTGAGTTTATTTTACATATATATTTATATATTGACATGAGTGTTTGAACATTGTTCAGTAGTTTTAATGATAGCTTTGGTTTGGTTTTCCGTTAGGTGTCATTCCGTGCACAGATGGCTTACCATTAATTCATTAAATTTTAATAAACAGTCTTAATAGCATTTAGAATCTCAACAAGCTGCTTCTTAACTTACGTAAGAGTTTTGAAGCAGACAATATTTTATCTACCAAGAAAACCGTCCAATAATATTGATCTTTAGAAGGGTTTTAAAATCTATCCTAAGGCATAATCTCTGTAAGAAATAGCTAAAACTTCAACCAGCAATAACTAATGATATAAAACCAGATTAGGAAGCTCATTAAAAAACATTCCCTGTCTAGGAAGGAAACTGGAACTAAATAACTAGAGGATGTCACCTGAAGCTAAAAATATTTTCGCGACCCTATGTATGCAAACTCGTTAGTCAGTTGAATAAAGCTATTTTAAAAATCTAAAATACATCAATATATACTGTCTTACTATTATACGCAAGAACTCAGTGCTTTAATTTTCGTCACTTTTTGGTCACATTTCTTTGACGGTAAGATTGTATGTAAACAGAAGTTATCTGCATAAATCTTCAAAATATAAAGTTCACATTTCATCGAAATTCAACAACCAAAATACAAAGCATTTTAAGTAACATAAAATTTTGTTGCGAATTGATGGATATTTTTTAATGAAAAATTGGATTGATAGATTTCCGGAAGACAAGTAAAGATTTTATTTAACCGCCATGAACCATGTAATGTTGCTTATGGAGAAGTAACTTTATATAACTATTACGTTTCACGAAATATCGAGTTCAAATATCATTGTAAATAAGATTGAAGAAAGTCGTGAATATCTTCACTTTTTTTACGTCACTGAATAAGTAACATGAGCCACTGAAGAATTTTTTTAATCATTGTGTGTTTTACGAACCTGATCTCAGTGTATAGAGACAGGCGGTAGTGTGCGCTACATATACTGCTTTTTTCGAATAAGATAGTTTGAACAAGCACAGTACAATATTATTTATTGTTCAGAAACCCAAGATCGGAGTTTGTTTGATCTTTTGCTGTTTGTGGATACTGTACATCTCTACTGTAATTGACTTGTTTATTTAGAATATGGTGCATCTCAGTGACAAAGTCTCTTTGGAAAGATTGGCTAAAAGTTTCCTACAAACCTATGGTAATATATTTTCAAACTGTAGACTTAATAGTAAGAAATGAAGTTTACGTGGGGAAATTTTATCACTGACGCAGTTTGATTTCATATTTATTATCATAAAGAAAAGCTTGGCTGTATATCACATGCATATCAGTGATATTTGCATGGTGAAAAAAGTATTCCTTGTGTTTATGAACTAAGTTTCATTATATTATTGTACAGTAAACTGTTCTTAATAGATAAAATAGCTAATGCAGCGTGACTGTATTGAAAATAATCATATTCAAGCATAAATGGCTTCAATAAAATATCCTAGCTGTGCTTCCTTTTACTTTTTAAAACTCGCATGAATTAAATACGAATGTCGAAAAGCACGTAATTAGAACCAATCAGCTTCAGGCTTCAAGTATTTTTTACTCAATAAATATCAATTTTCATTCTAACGTATGTTTTTGGATTCACCACCATCAATGCAGATAGAAGTATTTTATGTGTTAAAAAACGCTACTTATTTAATGAAGGTTGCCTGTGTAGCATTTCCATTTAAATTATGAAAAACTTCTTATCGACACTGACTGAAACAGTAAAACAACCTAAGATCAGTTGAAAATTTTTCGCTTGCACAATGCTTAATGTGAACATAAAAATAACAAGAAATACAGAGAAACAAAAAGAAACAGATTAAATGAATAGGATCTGACCTTAGTCTTAGTGAAATCTGTTAGCAAGTAACAACTCTTACTTAGTTTGTGAAGCAAAAAGGGAGTCAATAGAAGCGTATATTTGAAAGTAAAATGTTAGCATGCTTGGGAAGTTCTCTAAAAGAGGGTACCTGATAAAAAAATATTTGATAACGGAAAAATTATCCGTAACAGGGAAGGAATACAATTTCTATTTTTTATGAAAGCTGAAGGGATTTATCATCTTGAGTAGCTATGAGAAAAATCGTTGAATTAACCAATTGCTTGGCGTTGTGCTATGCAGAAGAACATAGTTGACTCAAAATATAGAGGATTTGAAGTGGTGAAGTTCGTTTTTTACTAACTAATCTTAGACTGAATATTTTAAATGGATTACTAAGTAAAGTAGGGCGAATTAAAGATACAAACTAAAATATGAAAGGAAATAATCGTTTATGTAGAACAGTTTTAGCACTATGAATTCCGCGTTGTCTTTGCAGGACTGCAATATTTTATACCTTTGTCCTTGTAACGTACACTATTCTAGGCTTTTTTATAATAATATATTATTATTATATGATGTTCCCTGTATTATCCTGTTGCTGAATTGACCAGATTGATCAGTCTGTATTACCGTGTAGGCTGCTGGGACGATGCCTCACTGTGGCCGGTATCTTCAGTTTTAATATCGATGATGAGTGACGGTTAGCTGTAGAATCTAGGACCTGCGTTTTTCCACATTTAGGGCTCTTTAGCCAGATTTACCTGCTTCCCACTGAGACTCGAACCTGGGACCAGCCGCTTCAAATGTCACAGCGCTATCCACTAGGTAAAAGAGTCACGATAGCCACTTTTTAAGGAACAGGTGTTGTGTATATGGTGTTGGTTTTATTATCTCATTGTTGGTTGGATCGCATTTGATCGGGCTCTATTAGCATACATCCTCATGCTAAGGAACAACATAGCTCACTGGGAGGCAAGTGTATTCAGCTGACGCATCCTAGATAGGACGAAATGCGCATCCTGAATTCCACTGCTATCTACTATCCATCCTTAATATTATTATTGCATATACAATAAGTCAAGAACTTAAGAAGGTAACGAACTTATTTTTATTTTCCTTTGCAATTTTTGCAGTTTTTGTATGATAACCAGTAGTGGTGTTTACTTATTTTACTACGTTTTATGCATCACAACAATGTCACCTTGTGTATTATGAGAGCTTCAATAAAATTAAATCTAGAGTCACATGTTTCCATAAATCTTCATATGTTTCTAGCATTTCGTCGAGTAACATTCTACAGATTTAAGCGCGGATATTATTCCGATTAACTGTTTCAGTTGATATCTTATTGAAATTGTAAGTGAAACTTATCTAGACATCATACTGGAGACTAGATAAGCACTGGTTTATTACATAGACATATATCTCAAAAATACAATTGTCTATACTAGTGTCATACAACTGTATCAACTTCTGTATTTGAAGAAATTTTAGAATGTTAAACGAGACTTAATAAATGCGTTTGTTTGGATATATATGTATTTACTGTAGTCAATTTCATCAGAATAACAATGAGCATGTATTATAACTATTTATTATTTATCCCTTGGGCTGATGGCGGAACACAGGGCTCCAGTAGCACATTTCCATTCCACTCTGTTCTCTGCAATCTTTCGAACCTGGCTCCATGACTGCCGTGAAGCTCTAATTTTTTTCCCAATTTGCCGTTTCTCATATCCCCTGATGTCTTCGAATGATCTTCTCAGTTCATGCCCAATCCATCTCCACTTTCTTCTGCATATTTGTTGAGCGATAAGTTCTTGGTTGCTTCGTTCCCATGGTTCCTTGTTGCTTATTCTTGTTTTTTGTGCTGAGTGCAGAAGACCTCCACACTGATTTCAGATTAGTGAACGCCTGTCCCGCTTTTCCGATCGTGGCTGGCTTTGATATCCTCATCTGTGTCTGTGCCACTTGTAGTTGAAACTGTGCTGCCTAGATAGGTGAAAGAAGCTGCCTCCATTAGGATTCTCCCGTTGATGGTGATTGGAGCTAGTTGTTGTTGGTGGTGGTAGCGTTGTTTGGTTATCATCATCACCTCTGTCTTCTCTACGTTCATCTGAAGTCCTATCTTCGCTGCCCTGCCTCTTCTGTCAACTTGTGAGTTTTCGTCTGTAGATCTTCGAGTTTGTGCCACAACACATTGAGCATAAATCATCATCGGCGGCGAAATCCAAATCTTCTAGGCTCTTTTCATCAGTCCAGCAAGCGTATGCCTCTCTTCTCGCTCCTCACTGTTTGCTGCATGATTCAGTCCACCACAATCCCGAAGATCATCAGTGATAGTAGGTAGCAGCCTTGTGTTACTACTGTCTTCACTTCAAAGGCATCACTTAGCTTCCCATTGAGAATTACTTGCATGTGGCATCTTCATATAGTTGTTGAATGAAAGTGATAAAGGTCTGTAGTACTAAAAGCGTAATGTTGGAGCGGCTAGCTGCCAAATTACTTCTCGGTCGACGCTGTCGAATGCCGGTTTTTTCAAAGTCGATGAAGTTAAGGTAAAGTCCCATTTGACTGCCATTCTATGCTCTGTTCTATGATGATGCGTAGCACAGCGTTGCAATTTGGTCCACACATGATTTGTACTTCCGGAATCCAGCGTGTTTTTCAGTCTCTCCAGGATGATGCGGCATAATATTTTTGCTAGGGGGGGGGGACAAGGATACAGCATGATTCCATGCCAGTTCTGGCAGACTGAGGTCTCTCTTCTTTAGAAGTTTGACAATGTCGCCCTTTGTCTAACAGATCAGCAGATACCTTTCCTTCCTTAATTGCGAACCTTCTGCAGTAGTGGTGTGAGCATATCCGCTGTTGTCTATGCGTCCGCTCTCAGTGCTTCTGGCACGATCCCATGTGGTCCTGCTGCTTTCTCGCATTTCAGTAGCTTTATGGCGTTCAGGAATTCGACTCATATTAGAGGATTTGCATCCACCTGTAGTTCTGTGGCTGGGCTGCAGGTGGTATTTCTGGACGGAGTGCAGGTGGTTGTGGTGGTGGGGGTGGTGGTAGTGGTAGACTCAAGAGTTCTCTGAAGTGGTCAGTCCATCCTTTCCTTTCTTTC